ACACAACACACACACACCCCAAAAACCACCACCCACACACACACACCACAAAACACACACAAAAAAACACCACACCCACACAAAAACAACACCAAAAAACAACAACACCCCACAACAAACACACACCCACACACAAAAACACAACATAAAACACACACAAACACACACACACATACACACACATACACACACCACACACACACACACCAACACACACAACACACCCACAAAAACACACAAAATACAATACACACACCCACCCAAAACACACACACCCCCCCATACACACACACCCCTACACTACACACACAACACACACCACACATACACACAAAAACACACGGGGGGCCCATTTCCCTGGGGGAACCGGGCTGTTTTTGGGTATATGTGACGACAAAAAGGGAAAAGGGTTTAGACTCAGAAGTGTCCTTGTTTGAGATGATGTGAATTTAATGAGAAGAATAAAATCGGGTGAGGATCGGGCGGGAATAAAAAGAACCGGGAAAGGGGCTGCAACCCTGGTCCACCCAACTGGCCCCTTGATTTTAAAACCCTCCCCAAATGAAAGGGTCATAAATTTTTGGGGGAAAGGGGCAAAGAAGACCGCAGACAAATATGGGTTTTAAAAGGGCCCAAAAGACTGAAAACCCTTTCACTAAAGGGAAAAAAGATCGGGGGGAGTATAACCCCCGAGCATATCTCCTGAGGCGCACAAAAAATCGATAACTGCTGCACCCAATAGGGCCCCCTGGAAAACCTACGGATAGCTTTCCCGGGGATACCTCAAAGGAGTCGTTAAAGGGACCCGTATCCCCAATTTTACGTCGGGGCCCCATACGGGAGTTTTCAGCCCCAGTTTGGAACCCCAACCTAGTCAAGCAGCCCCAAGAAATTAGAGAAAGTGAAAAAGGTTTGAAAAACAAGACTATCCCAGAGCTAGGGGGATTTTCCTACGAAGTAGGTTAAAGGGGAAAATCGGCCTGACGACACTGGGGGGCCCAGGGGGGTTAGGGAGACATGATAAGGGAATATAAAATACTGCGGGGAAAATAGACAAAGGGGGACAAAGACAGGAGTTCCAGGATGGGGCCCCAGACACAAGAGGTCACAATTGGAAGTTGAAAAACTCAGATGAAACCCAAGGATGTTAGGAAAATATTTCTTCAGTTTTAAAAGATAGTCAAGTTTTGGAATTGTCGAAAAGTGAAGTAGTGGAGGCGGGGGGAAACCCTACATAGTTTTTAAACGAGGTATGAAAAGCTCATGTTGCAGGGGGGAGAGAGGACCTAGTAGCAATCAGGAAAAGGGGGGGGCCAGGAGCTATGACTCGACCCCTAAACCACAAAAAGGGGGGTACAAATAGGGGGAGTTCACACACCCCACACACATACACAAAACACTACACATACACACACAACACACACCCACACCCACACACACAACACAAAACACCAAAACACCACATACACATACACACACACACACACAACCCAAAATCTTTATCTTTTTGTGTCCCGATTGAGTCTTCTTTTCCCTTTCCCAACCTTCTCCCAAACCCAACACTCCCTCCTTCCTGCCTTCCTCCTCCTCCCCTTTCCCCCAGTCCTCTCTTTCTCCCTTTCCCATCCTGGCAAACGTATTTTCTAATCTCTCCCCGACCCACTCAACACCTATCTCCCCTCCCCTCCCCTACCTTCTCTCCTCCCCTCCCTCTCCTTAACCCATCCCAAGATCACCCCCCTCTTCCTTCTCCCTCTCCCCCTCCCCCCTTCTACCCTCCCCTCCCCCCCTGTATTTTCCCATACTAACCTCCCCCCCCCACCTCCCCAATATCTCCCCCCTCAACGCTCATCACCCTCTGCTCTCCCCCCAAACCCCCTCCTCCTCCCCCCCTCCTGCTCCTCCTCCCAGGATCAAAAACTCTCCCCCGGCTCACTATCTGTCCCTCCCCTCTCCCCATCCTTTTTCCCCTCCCCAGGGCCCGGACTTTATAAAGAATTTCCCTTTAGCATCCACAACGAATAATACCTTTCCCCCGGTGGGGAGATAAGGGTGTCCTTGAAGACCCAGACATCTTAAGGGGTCCTTGATGACCCAGACATTTTTAAGGGGGTCCCCTTTATGACCCAGAATTCTTTTTGGGGTTCCTTGATACCCAGACATCTTTAAGGGTTCTTGATGACCCAGACATCTTAAAGATGGGCCTTGATGACCCAGCATTTAAGGGTTTTCCCTTGATGACCCAGACATCTTAAGGTTTTCCTTTAGGGCCCCCGAACCCCCTTTTAAAAATGTCCTTGTGAACCCGACTCCTTTAAAGGGTGCCCTTGATGGGCCCCCGGGCACTTAAAGGGTAACCTTTATGACCTTCGATACCCCGTACACACAGATCGCGACGGGCCACCGCGAAATATCCAGTGGGTGGGCACTCCCGGGGTGTATCCCTTTTCCACCGCGACACTTTTTCCCGTGCGGGCACTCGCGGTGTGTAATTCCCTTTTCCCCCGCGGGCACTATCAAATCTGTACTCGCGGGGGGTTCCCCCTTTTCCACCGCGACACTATCCCCGTGCTGTCACTCGCGGTGTGGATTCCCCCCCTCCACCCCGACACTTTCCCGGCTGTCACTCGCGGTGGGTAATTTCCCCCGTCCCCCCGCGACACTATCCAGTGCGGGCACACCCCGGGGGGGTTTTTATCCCTTGTCCACCGCGACACTATCCCGTGCTGTAAATCGCGGTGTGGGGGCCCTCGTCCACCGCGACACATCCCCGTGCTTCCCCCTCGCGGTGGTATCCCCCGCCAAGGGGCCCACCCTATCCCCCGTGCTCTCATCGAGACCCCCACCGCGACGTATCCCCGGGCGCGTTTTGCACCGCCCCGGCTGGAGGTGTAGGGAAAGTTACCTCTGGCCCCTGGCACTATAATACTGGCACTACACACCTCCTTTTCCCCCCCCCAACCCCCCCCCTCAACCCCTTTCCCCAAACCCCTCCCCCCCCTTTCCCCTCCCACAGCCCCTCATTCATCATCCCCCCCACCCTTCTTTCCCCCTCCCCCCTCCCTTTTAAAATTCGGGCGGGGCCCTTTTGACCTTTTGAGGAGGGGGCTTCCCCCCCCCTCCCCCCCCCTCCCCCCTTCCCCCCCCTCCCCCGAAGCCTCAAATCACCCGTAATTTAGGGGGGGTGACTTGTTTGGGCACTCGTTAAATTTCCTCTCTAAATTAACATAATTTTAAAAAACACTCCTACCATTTTAAACAGAAAATCACCAGCAAAATAACATACCTGTAATTAAAAACCCAATTTTTCTAGGATTACACCACTGTGTAAAAAAACCAGCCATACCTGGATTTAAAAAAAATCTTTAGGGGGAATTTCACCCCTGTGTAATAAAAACCCGCCCCTACCTGGATTAAAAACCCAATCTTCTAGGGGTTACACCAGTGTAAAAAACCCGCCATACCTGGATTAAACCTAATCTTCTAGGGATTAACCCACTGTGTAATGAACTAGCCATACCTGGATTAAACCTAATCTTCTAGGGATTAACCCACTGTGTAATGAACTAGCCATACCTGGATTAAACCTAATCTTCTAGGGATTTACCCACTGTGTAATGAACCAAACCATACCGGATTAAACCCCAATCTTCTAGGGATTAACCCCCCGTGTAAAAGAAAATGCCCTATGGGTTAAACCCAAACTTTTAGGGGTTAAACCCCCTGTGTAATGAATAGCCATAAACCCGGATTTAAAACCCAATTTTTCTAGGGGTTAACCCACTGTGTAAGAAACCCGGGCCCTACCTGGATTAAATCAACATTCCCAGGGTTAGGTGTAATCCCGGTTTTTGTACAAAATGTTTTTGAACGGGTTAGAGAAGGACGGGGTCCAAAACGTGTAACCCAAGGGGCCCCGGAAAAAGGTAGTATCCTGTTAATTATCAATTTGGATATAGTTTAAGTTGCGGACTTGTGATGGATAATGTTACTGACCGCACTTAAGGCAGCTTCAATACTCTTTCACCTTAAATCTTCTTCCTTAATGACTAGTGTAACCTGACTCACGAAATCGTAATGACACGATTGCAAACAAACCATTCCACGGGCTGGATTGAACCCGCGGTCAGAGAGTCTCAAAACTCCAGCCCGTCGCGTTAGCCACTAGACCAGCTAGCCACAATAAGATTCATCCAACTAGGTATATTTCTACACCATAGGAAGGTTAGCACAGGCACCTCTGTGACCACAGATGCAAGTTTTTACAGACGAATCTCCAGCTAGCGTGGCCGTGACGAACTCTAGCTCAAGTCCCCTCAATGCCGTGAACATGACTATGACGTGGTATGGTTTGTTTGCAATCGTGTCATTACGATTTCGTGAGTCATGTTGACGGCAGTGAGGTGACTTGAGCTAGAGTTCGTCACGGCCACGCTAGCTGGAGATTCGTCTGTAAAAACTTGCATCTGTGGTCACAGTGGGGCCTATGCTAACTTTCCTATGGTGTAGAAATATACCTAGTTGGATGAATCTTATTGTGGCTAGCTGGTCCAGTGGCTAACGCGACGGTCTGGAGTTTTGAGACTCTCTGACCGCGGGTTCAATCCCGGCCGTGGTATGTTTTTTTAGTGTAACCTCACTGAATCTCAAGAGGTGTGCAACATCGTCCGGTGTTTAACACACTTGTTGCTACGGCCATCATTGTTGCAAGTGTTTTCGTGTTCCCTGTTCTTAATATCCAGAGATCTGGTTGTTTCCCCAACATATACTTTGTCACACACCCCACATGGTATACTGACACACCAAATCGTAATGACACGATTGTAGACAAACCACCGTGCGGGTGGGAGTTGAACTCGCGGCAAGTGAGTGGCAAAACTCCAGGCCAGAACGTAAGCCAATGGCTACAATAAGATTCATCCAACTAGGTGTATGTATACACCATAGGAAGGTTAGCATGGGCCACCACTGTGACCACAAATGCCGCCGGCGTGGCTGTCATGGCCATGCTGGTGGAAGATGTAATATGTATACGGGGACCAAGACTCTTCAACACCTTCCCTTCATACATGAAGGGAAATTACAAACCTCTGGCTGTCTTCAAGAAGGACTTTAATATGTTCCTTAAGTCCCTGATCAGCCGGGCTGTGGTGAACACCTCTGGCCTTAGTGCTCAACAACCTGGTTAATCAGGCCAGCAACCATCAGGCCCTGGTCTAGGGACGGTCAAGGTATCACTCTACCAGAAGTACCACTTACCAGTGTAAGTACTTACCAGTGTAAGTACTTACCAGTGTGAGTACTTACCAGTGTAAGTACTTACCAGTGTAAGTACTTACCAGTGTGAGTACTTACCAGTGTAAGTACTTACCAGTGTGAGTACTTACCAGTGTAAGTACTTACCAGTGTAAGTACTTACCAGTGTAAGTACTTACCAGTGTAAGTACTTACCAGTGTGAGTACTTACCAGTGTAAGTACTTACCAGTGTAAGTACTTACCAGTGTAAGTACTTACCAGTGTGAGTACTTACCAGTGTAAGTACTTACCAGTGTAAGTACTTACCAGTGTAAGTACTTACCAGTGTAAGTACTTACCAGTGTAAGTACTTACCAGTGTGAGTACTTACCAGTGTAAGTACTTACCAGTGTAAGTACTTACCAGTGTAAGTACTTACCAGTGTAAGTACTTACCAGTGTAAGTACTTACCAGTGTAAGTACTTACCAGTGTAAGTACTTACCAGTGTAAGTACTTACCAGTGTAAGTACTTACCAGTGTAAGTACTTACCAGTGTGAGTACTTACCAGTGTAAGTACTTACCAGTGTAAGTACTTACCAGTGTGAGTACTTACCAGTGTAAGTACTTACCAGTGTAAGTACTTACCAGTGTGAGTACTTACCAGTGTAAGTATTTACCAGTGTAAGTACTTACCAGTGTGAGTACTTACCAGTGTAAGTACTTACCAGTGTGAGTACTTACCAGTGTAAGTACTTACCAGTGTAAGTACTTACCAGTGTAAGTACTTACCAGTGTGAGTACTTACCAGTGTAAGTACTTACCAGTGTAAGTACTTACCAGTGTGAGTACTTACCAGTGTGAGTACTTACCAGTGTGAGTACTTACCAGTGTAAGTACTTACCAGTGTAAGTACTTACCAGTTTGAGTACTTACCAGTGTGAGTACTTACCAGTGTGAGTACTTACCAGTGTAAGTACTTACCAGTGTAAGTACTTACCAGTGTGAGTACTTACCAGTGTGAGTACTTACCAGTGTGAGTACTTACCAGTGTGAGTACTTACCAGTGTAAGTACTTACCAGTGTGAGTACTTACCAGTGTGAGTATTACCAGTGTGAGTACTTACCAGTGTAAGTACTTACCAGTGTAAGTACTTACCAGTGTAAGTACTTACCAGTGTGAGTACTTACCAGTGTAAGTACTTACCAGTGTAAGTACTTACCAGTGTAAGTACTTACCAGTGTAAGTACTTACCAGTGTAAGTACTTACCAGTGTGAGTACTTACCAGTGTGAGTACTTACCAGTGTGAGTACTTACCAGTGTAAGTACTTACCAGTGTAAGTACTTACCAGTGTAAGTACTTACCAGTGTAAGTACTTACCAGTGTAAGTACTTACCAGTGTAGGTACTTACCAGTGTAAGTACTTACCAGTGTAAGTACTTACCAGTGTGAGTACTTACCAGTGTGAGTACTTACCAGTGTGAGTACTTACCAGTGTGAGTACTTACCAGTGTGAGTACTTACCAGTGTAAGTACTTACCAGTGTAAGTACTTACCAGTGTAAGTACTTACCAGTGTAAGTACTTACCAGTGTAAGTACTTACCAGTGTAAGTACTTACCAGTGTAAGTACTTACCAGTGTGAGTACTTACCAGTGTAAGTACTTACCAGTGTGAGTACTTACCAGTGTGAGTACTTACCAGTGTAAGTACTTACCAGTGTAAGTACTTACCAGTGTAAGTACTTACCAGTGTAAGTACTTACCTTTGTAAGTACTTACCAGTGTAAGTACTTACCAGTGTGAGTACTTACTAGTGTGAGTACTTACCAGTGTAAGTACTTACCAGTGTAAGTACTTACCAGTGTACTTACCAGTGTGAGTACTTACCAGTGTAAGTACTTACCAGTGTGAGTACTTACCAGTGTGAGTACTTACCAGTGTGAGTACTTACCAGTGTAATACTTACCAGTGTAAGTACTTACCAGTGTGAGTACTTACCAGTGTAAGTATTTACCAGTGTAAGTACTTACCAGTGTGAGTACTTACCAGTGTAAGTACTTACCAGTGTAAGTACTTACCAGTGTGAGTACTTACCAGTGTAAGTACTTACCAGTGTAAGTACTTACCAGTGTAAGTACTTACCAGTGTGAGTACTTACCAGTGTAAGTACTTACCAGTGTAAGTACTTACCAGTGTGAGTACTTACCAGTGTGAGTACTTACCAGTGTGAGTACTTACCAGTGTAAGTACTTACCAGTGTA